GATTTTAGAGGAGGATGTGTACATGACGCAGCCGCCTGGGTATGAGGATGGTACGGGCAGGGTGTGCAAGCTCAACAAGTCCATCTACGGCTTGAAGCAGGCGCCACGCTGCTGGTACCAGAAGTTGGCAGCTGTTTTAGAGGAGATGGGATTCAGGACCAGCAGCTGTGATGAGAGCCTCTTTCTCAAGGGCGAGGGGGAGAAGCTGGTGCTGTTTCTGGTCTATGTGGACGACATTCTTCTCTTCAGCAGCAGCATGAAGGAGATCCAGAAAGTGCAGCAGCAACTGATGGAAAACTTCAAGTGCAAGAACCTTGGGGAGGTAAAGTACTACCTCGGGATGCACGTGGAGAGGGATCCAGATCACAGGTGGTTGAAGCTGCACCAGGAGAAGTTCATCAAGGAGCTGGGGGAGAAGTATGGGATTGAGAATGAGCGCAAGGTTGCAACTCCCCTGCCAGCAGAATTCAAGCTTGTGAAGGCTGCAGAGGATGAAGGGGTTGAAGCTGAAGAGCAGCAGCAATTTCAGTCCTTGGTGGGCAGCCTCTTGTACGCAGCAGTTCACACGAGGCCCGACATCTCTTTCTCGGTTGGGCAGCTGGCTAGGGTGGTGCAGAATCCATCAGAGGAGCAGGTGGATGCAGCTGAGCGTGTGGTGAAGTACCTGAACTCTCACCCAAGCATTGGAGTTCAATACTCCGCATCTGCACAGGTGAAGCAGAAAGGGGTGGAGGTGCTGAAAGAGAAGGGGGAGAGGCTTGGAGAAGGCAAGCTATTTCTCACTTGCTTTACCGATGCTACGTGGGCTTCTGAGAAGGAGGATTCCTCATCTGTGGGAGGATACATCTGCGTAGTTGGGGGAGGACCTGTTAGTTGGAGGTCCAAGAAGCAGACGGGGACGGCACTCTCTTCCGTAGAATCAGAGTACATGGCGATGTTCCATGGGGTGAAGGAGGTGATTTGGCTGAGGAGGCTGTTAGAGGAGATTGGCCAGGAGCAGAAAGTTGCTACGCCGCTGTTTTGTGATAGCAAGGGGGCTCTTGGGATGGCCAGAAACGCTGTGCTTCATGGGCTGAACAAGCACATGCGTATCAAGTGGCACTGGCTGCGTAAGGAGGTGAAGAGGGGGACGGTGCATCCGATCTACATCAAGACTCACCAGCAGCCAGCAGACTTTCTCACCAAGAGGCTTGCGGATGAGCCTCATTGGCGTTGTGTGCGCATGAGTGGAATGAGCATGAACTAGCATGGAATGACGGGGATGCAGCCGGCAGGCTGAGGGGGAGTGTGTTGGGTGCAAATGCACATTGCACGACATCCTGCCGTCTGTTTGTACGAGTATGCGTGTGCGAATGCATTTGCGTGTGAATGGTGTGTTCGTGTGTTTGTTTGCTTTCGCATTTTTCGCTTGATGCATTTGCAGGTACTCGCGCAATGTGCGCTTCGGCACAACATTGTACGCGCTATGAACAGTGCAAGCAGAAAGGACGAGCTCGCAAAGGAACCCAAGATGGAAGCTTTGCAGTTCGGTTGAGTTGATTGCGCAGATTCAGTTCTATCCAACTCGAAATTGTACTGTTTTGTTTGGTTAACTATAGTGTAGCAGGGAAGGCACTATAGGGGTACAATTTAGGTGAAGGTTGGATGTTGTTTGTCTGTATCTGCATGCTACAAGGCCAGGGGAAACCAGCGGAACCAGCATTTGGCTGGTTGGGCAAAGACAAAACAGGTTCTGTTTTTAGAACCTGAACCTGGTTGTTGTTTTCCCAGGTTGGAAAAACAGAACCAGAGGTTGTTTACCAACCTACCACCTGCTATTTTGTCCAGCCAGGTTGGTTCTGTTGCTTGGAATTATTTGGGATCATCCCTGGTTGTTCCCAGGTTGATTCCCAAGGTCCTTGCTAGCTAGAACTATTTAATCCTTCTCTGTTTGTACCTGAATATAGTCAAAATTGATTCAAGCGAATTTCTTCCTCGCTGGAATTTCATTTCTGCGCTATTCGACGGCGGAATGCTACCCGAGTCAACGCTAGTATGCTAGCACTCCAACGCTAGGCAAACGCTGTCCGAGCCAGAACTTAGTAATGGCAGAACTTTTCGCGAGGCAACTTGGCTCATTTTAAAGCTCTTGGAGCGAGCTTCGATATAGCGAATTCTCAGCTTAATCCGATCGACGGTCTGCACGGCACGCTGCGCGACGTTCAAGGTGCTCTTGTTGTTTTGACTAAGTCCTTCTTGATCCCTCTCTCTACAAACTCGGACCCGAGGATGGGGGCTGGTCTTGTACCAGGCACCCAGGGACCCTTGGAGGTGACCCCGAGGAGAGGTTTTAAGTTTGATTAAGTCCTAATAGCTTGAGTTTATTAGGCCCTTACACCAACACTGAATCCCTCGAGAGCACCCGCAAGCGCCTCTCTGAGCATCTCGCTACCCCTTCTCCTCGCTCTGCCCCTCTGCCCTCTGCTTCTGCTCCATCTCACTCTGACCTTCTCGCTGACTGGCATGTTGCCAACGCACGTGCCTGCCAGGTCATCCTTGCCTGCCTACCTCCAACCCTTCTCCCTCAGTGCTCGCACATCCGCTATGCCAAGGACCTTCTCGGCTATCTTACTGAGCGCTTCCAGTCGCAGACTCCCATCAGTGTCATTGCCCTCTTACGCGAGCTCACTTCTCTTCGCCTTGCTGACTTCACCACCATGGCGGACTATATCGCTCGTGTGCAGACGCTGTCCTCCCAACTTGCTGCTCAAAAGTTCGAACTTTCCGATCATGTCTGCGGTGCCCTCCTCCTCACAGGCCTCACTCCTGAATACAGTGTTCATGTCACCCTGTATGGTGAGCGCCCCGCCGACCAGTGGTCGTTCTCTCGTGTCTCTGCCTTCCTCCTCCAGGCAGAGCTCAACCTCCGCAGCTGCCCTCCTACTGCCGCCGCTGTCGCACCCTCTTCCGCCCCCCCTCCTCTCCCCACCACCACTGCCGCTGCCGCTTCCTCTCGCCCTCGCAACACCTTTCCTCCTTGCACCTACATCATTCGTCAGGGGCCCCGCAAGGGTCAGCCCTGCGGTCGCACCAATCATCCCGCCACCTCCTGCTTCCAGAAACTCACCGATGACTGGTTCCTGGCTGGCAACACTGGTCGCCCTCCCAACTGGCTTCAACTCTCTCGTCAGCGTCGCCAGTCTTCTGCCCAGGCGGTACTTGTGGCCGCCGACTCTGGTGCCAGTACTCAAACCTCTGCTCTCAGTGTGACTATGCCTAGTCAGGATAGCATTCTGGGGGCTTCTCCCCTTATGGACCCTCGTTTTGCCATGATGTTTGCTCCTTCTGTTAATGGCAATGATTCTCAGTATCTTGGTCCCACAGCTGCTGCTCTTTCCCTCCCTCGCACGCTTGAGTTTGTTCTTGACAGTGGTGCTACTGACTCTGTTTTTCGTGACGCTGGTGTGCTTCGCTCTTTTCCCCATCCCCTCTCCATTCAAGGGGCTGGGGATACCATGACCATGACTTGCACTGCTACCTCCTCTCTCCCCTGTCCTGCCTCCCCCTCTGGTGCTGTGACTGGCCTCTATGTTCCTTCTTGCCGCCACAACCTTCTTTCTCTCTCTGCTCTTCAACGTCTTTGTGTGCGAGCTGTCTTTCCAGAATGTGACTCCCACTGTGATCTCTATCATCGCAACCGCCATCTTGCACGCTTCACGCTTTCCCCTATCACTCGCCTCTACACTCTTCGTGTCTCTCTCCCCCCCTCTGCCCATCATGCCACTTCAGCTTCCGCCCCTCCTGTTCCTTCTTGCGACTGTCGTTCTCTCACTCAACCTACCCTCCTCCTCCATCATCGACTTGGCCACCCCAATTTTCCCCTTCTTCGCAGTATGGTCTCCTCCAAGCTTCTTCATGGCCTCCCTTCCTCTCTTCCCCCCCTTCCTCCTTCTCCTGCTCCTCCATGCACCCCATGTGTCCAGGCCAAGCTATCCCAGTCACCCCATCCCTCTTCTCCCTCTGCCTCTCCCCAACCCCTTGACCTTGTTCATATGGATCTCTGGGGTCCTTCACCTACTGCTTCTCGCCAGGGTCATCGATACTTTCTGCTTTTGGTTGATGATCACTCACGATTTGCCACTGTCTATCCCCTCCGTGCCAAATCTGACGCCCCTTCCCTGATCATTCGCTGGGCTGAGCAGGCTCGTCTGCGCTTTCAGCGTCCTGTCGCGCGCTTCCACTCAGATGGTGGTGGCGAATTCTTTCATCACTCTCTCTCCTCTTACTGTGCTTCTCATGGCATTCGCCAGACCTCCACCCTTCCTCACTCCCCAGAACAGAATGGGGTTGCTGAGCGTCGCAATCGCACTCTCATGGAAATTACTCGCTGCCTTCTCACCCATGCTTCTGCTCCCCACTCTCTTTGGAGCTATGCTCTCCTCCATGCCGCTCTGCTCTCTAACCTCCGCCCTCATCCTCATCGCCCTAGTACCACCCCTTTCCAGCTTTGGACTGGCCGCCAGCCCTCTGTTCGCTCTCTTCGGGTCTGGGGGTGTGTCGCCCATGTTCTTGTCAATCCAGCAGACCGGTCCCGTCAGGGTGGGAAACTCGCTCCCAAGACTCAACTCTGTGCCTTCCTTGGCATAAACTCTGACTGTCCTGGCTACCTTTTCTATGCCCCTTCCTCTCACCAGCTCATCCGCAGCCAGGACGTTATTTTCGATGAGACTCGATCCCCATTCCATTCCCCCCCACCCGCCCCTCCTGTCCCCTCTCTTCGCTGGTCTGATTTCGATCAGCCGTCGTCTGTCATTCCCTCCCCTCCTCCCCCCCCCCTTCTCCCGCCCCTTCCCGCCCCTCCACCCGCGCCAGCCTCTACTGCCCCCCCTTCCGACATCATCTCTGGCGCCTCCCCACCCGCCTCTTCCTCTTCGGCTCCCGTCCCTTCCTCACCTCCATCTTCCTCTCCACCTCCTTCACCTGTTCCCATTCCCCCCCCTTCCCCGCGCCTTACTCGCTCCATGACTCGCGCGCTTTCTAACTTTCAACACTCTGCTCTTTTCACTCGTCTTTCTCCACCCCAGAATGTTAATCTTCTTGAAGATCGCTTTGAGGAGCTCTTCAACATTCATCCTGTTTCTCCTCTTCTGTGTGTCACCGTCGGTGACTTTAGCAATTCTCCCACTCTTCTTTCTGTTGACACCGCTGCCATTCCCACCCCTCTGTCCTACTCCGAGGCTGTGTCGGGCTTTCATGCCACTGAATGGATGACTGCCATCATTGCTGAGTGCGAGGCATTTACCAGAACCAATTCCTACATTGACTCTGTCCCCCCCCCTGGCGCCACTATTGTTAAAGGCAAATGGGTCTTCCGTGTCAAGCAGCTGCCCGGCGAACTTCCTGTCTTCAAGGCCCGCTACTGTGCCAAGGGCTTCACTCAGCGTGAAGGCATTGACTACTTTGCCACTTACTCCCCCACAGCCCGTCTCCCCACTCTCCGCCTCCTTCTTGACTTAGGCGCTCGCTGGAATTGGGAGATCCACTCCATGGACGTTTCCAATGCTTTCCTCCAGGGCGAGCTGCATGAGCGCATATTCCTTGAGCGCCCCGCTGGTTTTCCTCGCCCTTTCCCTCCAGGCACTGTTTGGGAACTCAAGCGACCTGTGTATGGCCTTAAACAGGCCCCGCGCGAGTGGCACGCCAAGCTCGCCTCCACTCTTCACTCTCTTGGCTTCTCTACCTCCACTTCCGACCCCAGTCTTTTCATTCGCACATCCCCCCACAGGCTTTACATCCTTGCCTACGTGGATGATTTGGTGCTGCTTGCTGAGGACTCCGCCGATCTTGCAGCTGTCAAGAAAGCCCTGCAGGCGCGTCTCATGTGCAAGGATCTTGGCGAGCTTCGTCACTACCTCGGCATGGAGATCCGTCGTGATCGTGCTGCTCGTACCATCTCTCTCTCCCAGTCTTTCTACATTCAGTCCATCCTCCAGCGGTTTGAGATGTCGCAAGCCAAGCCGGTCTCCACCCCTCTTCCCGCTAACCATCAGCTTACTGCCCCTGCCGTCCCTGCTCCCTCCTCAGAGCTGCGGCCTTATCCTGAGCTCGTTGGATCTCTCATGTATGCTATGATGTGCACTCGCCCCGACCTTGCTTATCCCCTCAGTGTTCTCTCTCGCTTTGTTGGTCTGGGCCGCCACACTGACGTGCACTGGGCAGCTGCTAAGCGCGTCTTGCGCTATCTGCGTGCCACCTCTGACCTTGCTCTCACTCTTGGTGGCTCTATTCCTCCCGTTCTCTCCGGCTACAGTGACTCTTCCTACGCTGACTCTCGCCCTGATCGTCGCTCATCTCAGGGCTATGGTTTTACTCTTGGCAGTGGTCTCATCAGCTGGCGCTCCACTCGCTCATCCTCTGTCTGCCTTTCCACCTGCGAGGCTGAGTTGTACGCAGGCACATTGGCGGCTCAGGAAGCTCGTTGGCTCTCCTTTCTCCTTGCTGAGCTTGGTCACTCTCAGTCCTCTGTGACGCTCTCCTGTGACAGTGCGAGCATGATCCATCTCACTGAAAATCCTGTCTATCACGCCCGCAGCAAGCATATCGAGGTCCGCTATTTCTTTGTGCGTGAGCTGGTGCAGTCTGGCTTCTTACGCCTTCGCAAGGTGGACGCTACTGCCAACCTTGCAGACATTTTCACCAAGGCCCTCCTGCGTGCACCGCACCGTTTCTACGTGCGCGAGCTTGGGCTCACGCGTCTCTCCACTTCTGGGGGTGTGCCGGTTCGCTAGGTGTTTTGCTCCAGAGCTTCACCTAGCCTGGGGGTGTGTTGGAGTAGGCTAGAGCTCGCTCTGGCCTTTATTTTGGTGTTCTTATATTGTTATTTCTCTGGGCTTAGAGCGAGTTACGCACTCAGGTTCATTTTAGGTTCATTTCATAATTGTTAGAACAAACCGAACACACCCTAGGTTCAATTAGGGTTTCCAACCCTCTCTCTTTTGTATCTCGACATTCTCCTCCTAGTTCAACTTCTTCAACCTCACCAAAGCCTCTCGCCATCCATGGCTTTCCTTACTTTAACACCTACCACCTGCTATTTTGTCCAGCCAGGTTGGTTCTGTTGCTTGGAATTATTTGGGATCATCCCTGGTTGTTCCCAGGTTGATTCCCAAGGTCCTTGCTAGCTAGAACTATTTAATCCTTCTCTGTTTGTACCTGAATATAGTCAATTGATTCATGCGAATTCCTTCCTCGCTGGAATTTCGTTTCTACGCGGTTCGTTGGCTGAATGCTACCCGAGTCAACGCTAGTACGCTAGCACTCTAATGCTAGGCAAACACCGTCTGAGCCATAACTTCGTAATGGCAGAACTTTTCGCGAGGCAACTTGGCTCATTTTAAAGCTCTTGGAGCGAGCTTCGATATAGCGAATTCTCAGCTTAATCCGATCGACGGTCTGCACGGCACGCTGCGCGACGTTCAAGGTGCTCTTGTTGTTTTGACTAAGTCCTTCTTGATCCCTCTCTCTACAAACTCGGACCCGAGGATAGGGGCTGGTCTTGTACCAGGCACCCAGGGACCCTTGGAGGTGACCCCGAGGAGAGGTTTTAAGTTTGATTAAGTCCTAATAGCTTGAGTTTATTAGGCCCTTACACCAACAAGCTGGTATCAGAGCTGCGTTATAGTGATCCTCGTTATAGGTAGCTATGGCGGGCAACACCTCGGCGGGAGCTGGTGAATCTTCAGCCCAAGATCGTAGCGGCAGCCAAGATTCTGGTCTTTCAGCGCCAAGGGGAGCGCGAACAAACCAGGGCTCGCTTGTCAAGGAGGTGCTGAAGAATTTCACCGTCGAGAAGTTCAATGGTGAGGGCTATAATGATTGGGCCTGGAAAATGCAATTATATTTCCGTCAGATCGGTTTGCTGAAACTAATGATTGGGGAGGAGCCTAGACCGAGTGACCCCACGCTGCAGGAAGATTGGGACGAGCGCTCCTCGGCTGGCTACTATTTGATGTCGCAGAGTTTGGAGCTGAACCAGCGTCACCACGTCATGCACCTGCTGCCGGAGGTTGAATGCGGTCCGAAGGCGTGGACCGTGTTGAAGGAGCTGCACGCCCCGACCTCCGTTGTCGCAACGTTGATGCTGGAGAGGGAGCTGTCCGCGTTGCGCCTGAGCGAGGGAGAGCCGGTGCAACCAGTCCTGGACAAGATGCGCGACCTCTACGCGAAGTTGGCGACCGCGGGAATCACCTACCCGGAGCAGACCAAGTGCTTGAAGATGCTCTCGCTGCTGCCGGAATCGTGGCTTCAATTTACGAGCGGATTGAGCCTGCCGCAGAACCAGAGCTTGTGGACGCTCGAGTGGGTGCGGACGAAGATTCTGGAGGAGGACTTCCGTCGCCGCCAACTGAGGGGTGGAGACGACGGCAGCAGCGGCTACGGGATGCAAGGGAGCCGACGTGGCAGAGGACGTGGCTTCGGTGGTGCTGGACGCGGTGCAAAGAAAGACGACGACTCCAACGACCAACAAGGAGGTACCGGTTGGGGTCGCGGTGCGAAATCTGGACGTGGGGGCAAGTCGGGTGCTGGTGGCAAAATGAAAGGGAGTTGCTGGTATTGTGAGAAGGAAGGGCACCCCTGGTTTTTGTGCTATAAGAAACCCGATGGATGGACCCCCCAGAATCGTCACCAGGATGGCGGCACGCGGAGGAACCAGAAAAACGGCGCCAACATGGTCGCTGATTCGTCCGACAACAACCCGAAGGGCAACGGCGGTGCGGAGAAGAAGAAGGAGCGCACCGCGGGCCAATTCTTCCATGTGGGAGACAAGGGGGAGCAAGGAGACGCCTCTGCCAAAGTTGGAGCAGAGCTGCACCCCCTAGACTATTGGGTGTTGGACACAGGCGCTGCTTGGACGATGACGCCGCGCAAGGACCTGCTGGACAAAGTACGAGCTGCACCGATCAATGAAGTGTGCTCCGCCTCTGGACACATGTTGAAGGTGGCTGGTGCGGGACGAGCTGCGTTTAAGGGAGCGGATGGCAAGCCGGTGGTGCTGCACGACGTTCTCTTCATCCCCGACCTGAAGGCCAACCTTATCTCCCTCCGTAAGCTTGGCAAGGCTGGGGTGAACACCAACACGGATGGGGCACGCACTTATAAGGGGAAGCTGGGCAATCGGGTGCTTTGGGATCTGCACGAGAGCAAGGACGTGTACAGATCTATGTGGCAGCTGCCGGCCCTGGCGTGGCATGGTGGGGGGCAGGCTGGAGAGGGGTCTGCATCCCAGGGGGAGTGCAATGCCGTTGGAGGGGTTGGTGTGAAAGTGTCGGCCAGATCTGGGGAGACAGATTGGGCAACGGCACACCGGCGCTTAGGGCATGTGGCAATGCCTTTGCTGAAGCAGCTGGAGAAGGATGGAGCCGTTAAGGGTCTGAAGCTGAACGGACAGCCACCCGATGACAACTGTGAAATCTGTTTGCTTTCAAAGTTCACCCGTTTCCCTTTCCATAGTGTGGCTGGCAGGAGCAAGAAGCCTTTGGAGCTGGTCCACATGGACTTGGTGGGGCCGCTGCCGGTGCAAGGGCACAAGGGGGAGCGGTATTTTCTTACAATTGTGGATGACTGGAGCAGGCTGATGTGGGCGTATCCGCTGAAGCAGAAGGACCACGCCGCCTCCACGATACGGGACGATTGGCTGCCATTCGTGGAGAAGCAGGCGGAGTGTGTAGTGAAGCGGATTAGGACAGACCGGGGTGGTGAGTTCCTTGGAGCTGAAATGACGGCCTGGCTCAAGAAGCAGGGCATCCAGAGAGAGCTGACCACGGCTTATACCCCACAGTCCAATGGTGTAGCAGAACGGGCAAACCGGACCATTCTGGAGACAGCTAGGGCGCTGCTCATAGAATCTGGGCTGAGCAATTCTATGTGGCCTCATGCTGTCCGGCACGCCACTGTCGCTAGGAACAGGGTGCTCACCAAGGTTGGGGATGACTCGTGGGTGCCTTTGGAGAGGTGGCTTGGGAGGAAGCCGCCGGTGGACATGCTGAGGGTGTTCGGTTGCATGGCAGTCGCCCACGTCCCCAAGACCTACCGCAGTAAGTTGGGGGCGAGTGCAATCTGGTGTGTGCATTTGGGGCTGGCTGCTGAGAGCAAGGGATGGCTGCTGTGGGAACCATCCAAGGGTGTGTTGTTTGACAGCAGGGATGTGAAATTCATTGAGGGCATGATGTATGGGAGCTGGGAGAAACAGCCGGAGGCAAGGGTGTCCCAGCAGATGGAGCAGATCACCATGCAGCTGGACCTGACTCCTAGTGTGTGGGAGGAGGGAGAGGAGGCAGCTGCTGGAAATGGTGATGGAGAGAAGGTACAGAAGGCATCTGCTGGTGGAGAAAATGGTGTGGAAACTGGCGGCAGCACTAGTGGAGCTGCTGGACCCGAGGGAGGAGAGAAGCAGCAGGGAAAAACTAAGAAGCCGAAGGGTGTCGTTATGAAGGGATGGGAGACACCCGTCTCCAGGCCAGGACGTACCCGTATGGCTACTAAGAAGCTGACTGCAGAAACTGATGCAGCAGAGCAGCAGCTAGGGACCGAAGAGGCATTGCTGATTCTACCTCATGGCTATGACCCGGATGAGGAGGATGAGCCTGCGTACTGTTTTCTTGCCCCTGCACCAGAGGAACCAGCTAGCATGGAGGAGGCATTAGCTGGACCAGATAGGGACAAGTGGCTGGCTTCTAGGGATGCTGAGTACCAGAGTCTGCTGGAGAATAGGACATGGGATCTGGTGGTGCTGCCTGATGGGAAGAAAGCGATACAATGCAAGTGGGTGCTGAGGATCAAGACCGATGACAAGGGGCAGGTCACCATCTACAAGAGTAGGCTGGTGGCGAAGGGGTTTATGCAGAAGGAGAAGCAGGACTTCAACGAGATCTTTGCTCCCACTGCCAAACCCCCTACCCTCCGTGTCTTGTTGGCAGATGCAGCTGTTAGTGGGAAATTCATCATTCAGATGGATATTTCAACGGCATTCCTGAATGGGATTTTAGAGGAGGATGTGTACATGACGCAGCCGCCTGGGTATGAGGATGGTACGGGCAGGGTGTGCAAGCTCAACAAGTCCATCTACGGCTTGAAGCAGGCGCCACGCTGCTGGTACCAGAAGTTGGCAGCTGTTTTAGAGGAGATGGGATTCAGGACCAGCAGCTGTGATGAGAGCCTCTTTCTCAAGGGCGAGGGGGAGAAGCTGGTGCTGTTTCTGGTCTATGTGGACGACATTCTTCTCTTCAGCAGCAGCATGAAGGAGATCCAGAAAGTGCAGCAGCAACTGATGGAAAACTTCAAGTGCAAGAACCTTGGGGAGGTAAAGTACTACCTCGGGATGCACGTGGAGAGGGATCCAGATCACAGGTGGTTGAAGCTGCACCAGGAGAAGTTCATCAAGGAGCTGGGGGAGAAGTATGGGATTGAGAATGAGCGCAAGGTTGCAACTCCCCTGCCAGCAGAATTCAAGCTTGTGAAGGCTGCAGAGGATGAAGGGGTTGAAGCTGAAGAGCAGCAGCAATTTCAGTCCTTGGTGGGCAGCCTCTTGTACGCAGCAGTTCACACGAGGCCCGACATCTCTTTCTCGGTTGGGCAGCTGGCTAGGGTGGTGCAGAATCCATCAGAGGAGCAGGTGGATGCAGCTGAGCGTGTGGTGAAGTACCTGAACTCTCACCCAAGCATTGGAGTTCAATACTCCGCATCTGCACAGGTGAAGCAGAAAGGGGTGGAGGTGCTGAAAGAGAAGGGG